AGAAAGTACAGGTATTAGTTCAACATGTAGAAGTAGAAAGTACAGGTATTTGAGTTCAACATGTAAGAAGTAGAAAGTACAGGTATTTGAGTTCAACATGTAAGAAGTAGAAAGTACAGGTATTTGAGTTCAACATGTTGAAAAATATTTGAGTTCAACATGTAAGAAGTAGAAAGTACAGGTATTTTGAGTTCAACATGTAAGAAGTAGAAAGTACAGGTATTTGAGTTCAACATGTAAGAAGTAGAAAGTACAGGTATTTGAGTTCAACATGTAAGAAGTAGAAAGTACAGGTATTTGAGTTCAACATGTAGAAGTAGAAAGTACAGGTATTTGTTCAACATGTAAGTAGAAAGTACAGGTATTTGAGTTCAACATGTAAGAAGTAGAAAGTACAGGTATTTGAGTTCAACATGTAGAAGTAGAAAGTACAGGTATTTGAGTTCAACATGTAGAAGTAGAAAGTACAGGTATTTGAGTTCAACATGTAAAGTAGAAAGTACAGGTATTTGAGTTCAACATGTGAGAAGTAGAAAGTACAGGTATTTGAGTTCAACATGTAAAAGTAGAAAGTACAGGTATTTGAGTTCAACATGTAAGAAGTAGAAAGTACAGGTATTTGAGTTCAACATGTAATAAGTAGAAAGTACAGGTATTTGAGTTCAACATGTAAGAAGTAGAAAGTACAGGTATTTGAGTTCAACATGTAAGAAGTAGAAAGTACAGGTATTTGAGTTCAACATGTAAAGTAGAAAGTACAGGTATTTGAGTTCAACATGTAGAAGTAGAAAGTACAGGTATTTGAGTTCAACATGTAGAAGTAGAAAGTACAGGTATTTGAGTTCAACATGTAGAAGTAGAAAGTACAGGTATTTGTGTTCAATGTGAGAAGTAGAAAGTACAGGTATTTGAGTTCAACATGTAAAAGTAGAAAGTACAGGTATTTGTGTTCAACATGTAAGAAGTAGAAAGTACAGGTATTTGTTCAACATGTGAAGAAGTAGAAAGTACAGGTATTTGAGTTCAACTGTAAGAAGTAGAAAGTACAGGTATTTGAGTTCAACATGTAAGAAGTAGAAAGTACAGGTATTTGAGTTCAACATGTAAGAAGTAGAAAGTACAGGTATTTGAGTTCAACATGTAAGAAGTAGAAAGTACAGGTATTTGAGTTCAACATGTGAGAAGTAGAAAGTACAGGTATTTGAGTTCAACATGTAAGAAGTAGAAAGTACAGGTATTTGAGTTCAACATATGAGAAGTAGAAAGTACAGGTATTTGAGTTCAACATGTGAGAAGTAGAAAGTACAGGTATTTGAGTTCAACATGTGAGAAGTAGAAAGTACAGGTATTTGAGTTCAACATGTGAGAAGTAGAAAGTACAGGTATTTGAGTTCAACATGTGAAGAAGTAGAAAGTACAGGTATTGAGTTCAACATGTGAGAAGTAGAAAGTACAGGTATTGAGTTCAACATGTGAGTAAAGTACAGGTATTTGGAAGTTCAACAGGTATTTGTGTTCAACATGTAGAAGTAGAAAGTACAGGTATTTGTGTTCAACATGTAAGAAGTAGAAAGTACAGGTATTTGTGTTCAACATGTAAGAAGTAGAAAGTACAGGTATTTGTGTTCAACATGTAGAAGTAGAAAGTACAGGTATTTGTGTTCAACATGTAAGAAGTAGAAAGTACAGGTATTTGAGTTCAACATGTAAGAAGTAGAAAGTACAGGTATTTGTGTTCAACATGTAAGAAGTAGAAAGTACAGGTATTTGAGTTCAACATGTAAGAAGTAGAAAGTACAGGTATTTGAGTTCAACATGTAGAAGTAGAAGTACAGGTATTTGAGTTCAACATGTAGAAGTAGAAAGTACAGGTATTTGGTTCAACATGTAAGAAGTAGAAAGTACAGGTATTTGGTTCAACATGAAGAAGTAGAAAGTACAGGTATTTGAGTTCAACATGTAGAAGTAGAAAGTACAGGTATTTGGTTCAACATGTAAGAAGTAGAAAGTACAGGTATTTGAGTTCAACATGTAAGAAGTAGAAAGTACAGGTATTTGTGTTCAACATGTAAGAAGTAGAAAGTACAGGTATTTGTGTTCAACATGTAAGAAGTAGAAAGTACAGGTATTTGGGTTCAACATGTAAGAAGTAGAAAGTACAGGTATTTGGGTTCTAAATATAAGAAGTCAAAGTAAAAAGTCGTCAGAAAAATAAGTAGTGGAGTAAAGTACTGATACCAGAAACATGTACTTAAGTACAGTAATGCAGTATTTGTACTGCACTACTTCCCACCTCTGTTGTTATTGTTGTATCTGCTTGTTGCCAGTATGAACTGATGTGCATATTTTTCTCACAGCAGGATGCAGCGCTTCAGAGAAGGCATTCACATCCGGACGATGAAGGCCAAGAGGAAAGTGGAGGAGATCTCCAAGAGAACGTCCTGGCTTTCTTCAAGAATAACGCCTTTGTTCTCTTCACAGTGGCAGCAGTCGTCGTAGGTGTGTATCCCTCTGCAAGATTAAAGGTCCTCTCTCATGCAAAATGCACTTTGTGATGTCTTCTCTCCATCACCATGTGTCCCCGGTGTGTCAGGGGAACTCACGCAGCGTCAGGAAATAATACCCTCTCTCTTTTCCTCCGTACCCAAATCTCTAAAAACGGGGAACAACGGAGCTGATCCAGATTTGCGTCCGATATGACGTAATATCTGAAATGTGGACCCACGGCCCAATCAGAAACATTGCTATCAGAAACAATGCCCGACTGCTTTGGACGTAATAGAGTGGCGAAGTCCCGCCCTTCTACTTCCACCTTATTTCTGAAAAAGTTTGTATTGAAGTCAATGGAGAGAGAAAGATTATCTTTCGATCCCGTTTGAATTGTGCCACAAATTACACATATGATGTTTGTCAATCTTAACAAATCATTTCCACGTGTCAAAAAAGTCACAGTTTGTCGTAAAACTGTTGAAATATAAGACTATGAGAAATACGCAACTAGAAAGACTACAGATCCCAGAGTCCCGGTCCCGCATGCTGGCTCTTAGGAACCGACTAACTCCCCTTGTGTGTGTGTACAGCTCTCAACGTGCCCAGACTTGGAGTGATTTCCTCGTCTTTTAATACTTTCCGCCTCATTCTGAGAGAAAGAAGTGAAATGTTTCAACGTGACGGCCGTCTGGGTGTGTGGAGCGAGACGGGAGATGTAGTTCATTGAGCGGTTTCACACAAACAAAGTGTTACTTCACAGTTTGACAACTCATTTAGATTTGTTTTACTTGCAAATGTATCTTTTAAATTGACAAACATCATGTGTGTAATTCGTGGCTCAATTCAAACGGGATCGAAAGATAACTTTTCTCTCTCCATCGACTTCAATACATACTTTTTCAGAAATAAGGTCCCATGGAGGAAGGGGAGGGACTTCACCTCTCTATATGGTCTGTGTTTACATTAGCATCGCTAACACTCAGAGCTAACCTGAACTGGAGAGATAGTGTAAAAAGAAGGAAATAAAAAAAGTATACTCACCTTGTGGTAAAACTTTTTTGAGCTCCATACTTCTATCAGAATCAGCACTTTAGTAACAGGCTGAAATAGAGGGGTATGAGGCTAGAATGGGTGTTTGGTATTCTGAGCAAAACACTTCATAGACATGTTTTTGTATATCTGAGATCTATAATATATGCCTACAAATAGTATAATAGGAGACCTTTAATGCAAACGTCTGAGACAGTCTGTGTCTGCATTACGTTAACAACACTTCTCAATGCATCAAAGACTCTCTCTCTCTCGGCAGGAATCGTTCTGGGATTCGCGCTCCGTCCGTATAAGATGACCTATCGAGAAGTGAAGTACTTCTCTTTCCCCGGAGAGCTGTTGATGAGAATGCTCCAGATGCTCGTTCTGCCCTTACTGGTGTCCAGTCTGATAACAGGTAACACACATTGCATCACAGGTCACTGCACTTTGCTCTGGTTCAGTTTCCCTCCACTCATCAAAGCTTACTTTATATTAAATTGTGTGTAACCCAATATCACAAATCACGTGCACGGCTTTAGAGATTATAGATATATCAAAATTACAGGAACATAATGAAAAGACAATATAGACTGAATACATGTTTTATAAAAATACAAGGAAACAAGTTATTGACATTGTATCTGAGATTATTGGAGTTCACATCTTGTCTCCCAAATATTGTATTGTTGGATGATTCTTCTCTTGACCTACTACCATCAGAAAAGGGTGCTTTTCGCTGGTCTAACAGCAGCCAACAAAATAATTGGAATACGATGGAAACCCCCACATACTTTATTTATTAAAGGTCCCGTGTCATGGCCATTTCTACTGATCATAATTCCATTGTTGAGGTCTAACAGATTTACACTGTTCAATGTTCCAAACTCACATTGGTTTCTCATGCAGCAGAGTATGTGTGTTCACTCTGTCCTACACGGCTTGTTGGAGCTCCTCCCCCCCCCTCCCTGTGAGCCCAGTGGCCGTCTGTGAGACAGCGAGACACAGCAAAACCAGCCCGAACACACACACACACCCGCAGCCTGGCTGGGAGCCGCCATGTCAGAGAGGAGAAATCGGCGGAGCTGCAGCTGAGAAAAGATTGAGTGTGTGTGTGTGAGGAAGTCCGTGGATTGGTCAATTTGGACCAATCCACGGACGTAACGTAACAGCTCCGCGGAAAGCTACTCCAGAGCCATTATTTGAAGTATGCTACGTCATCGAGTCCCGCCGAAGAACTGTTCCAATGTCCAGGATGCTTGGAATTCTACCGAGGCCGGCGTCCTTCGTTGCGGGAAAATTTGAGGCTGCACATATGTAGACTCCGCGGTCTTAAAATCCCCACAATGCTTTGCGCACGGACCAATTTCCCAATCTTTGGCGGAAGTCGCGCTCCATTGAAGGCGGGGCCTCTCATGACGCACACCTGTTAGCCTGTTCCACCATTCTTCGTTTTCAGAGGCTAGGAAGGATTCTTGCCTCGTTTCTGAAGCAACTGACTCTGAGGGACTTGTCCTACCAAGGAAGCGTCCTCGACATTGAGAAACACCCCATCTGTGATGGCAACAAAAAAGAAAAGAAAAAAGAGTTGGCCACAAAAAAAAATACAAATACAATGGAATAAGATAAAAGAAAAGACAAAAAAAACATACAATAAAATACTTTAAAATGCAGGACCCAGGAGGATGAGTCAAAGTCAAGTCAAAGTCAACTGTATTGTCAATCTCAAAATATGTTTGTATACACAGAAAGATCGAAATCTAAAAAAAATACACATTAAAATGCAAGAACGGGAGGCGTGTGGCGCAGTGGGCTAGTGCGTTGGGTTCAGGGGGTCACAGGTTCAAACCCCACTGTAGTCAGCATGTCGTTGTGTCCCTGGGCAAGACACTTTGCTCCTGTGGGGATTGTCCACAGTATTGAGTATGTAAGTCGCTTTGGATAAAAGCAAAGTAACATGTAATGTAAAAGAACACTCAATATTTACAAAAAAACACAAAATAACTGTTTACTTCAAGTAAGCAGGATATATATATAAAAAAAGATTATGTTTACAAAGTGTGCAAATATGTCCATAGCAGCGTAAAAGTGACTGGTAAGCATAGCAACTGAAACCAGCTCTAACTATAGGTTTAAAATTAGAAAAATAAAAAGTAAAGACATTTCACTAATTACCCCTCCTCGACTCCTCCGCTCGCATCTCCTGTGGGCGGGACTAAGACACGAGGATAGGAGTCGAGGAGGGGAGATAGAGAAATGAGAAAGGGCCATAGAGGACTTGTATTATTCTCTGCATATACAACTCTGGAAATCAGTTAGACTTTTTATTTATCCTGTTGGTTTCATGTTCTGAAAATGCCTGAAAATCAATGTTTCAGGTCTCAGATAAACTTTGTTTTTCCCGAGCTGGTTCAGGAGGAGGTCAGCAGTGACTGAGGAGGCTGACCTCTACCCAGCTGCGTGATGAAGAACTTCCCACTGACTCAGTTACAGAGAACACTTTCTTTCCAATTTAATTACACAAGGTGCTCCGTCCTCAGGTCTAATCTCCTGGTTCCCAGCAGCTGCTCTCAAACACTTTTCTATGTGTTCCCGCTCCACAAATTAGGAACATGTCAAAGTAGCAGATGTACGAAATGTCCTGGCGGAGCTCTAATTACCCTGAGTAAAAGTGAACCAGAGCTGCATTAAAGGCAAATATAAAAACCAGGCTTGGATGTTGTGTTGAGTTACAGAAAGGGGAAGGAAGGAGAGGACAAGACCACAGAGGAAAAGAGAGAAGGAGCGAGTAGGGCTGAACGAGTAATCGATTTTAAATCGAGATCGCGATTTTAAATGATGCGATTATCAAATCACAAAGCCTGCGATTTTTTTTAACATATTATTTATTTATTTTTTGTGTGTCAGTCATCCACACCAATCAGAAGTTCTGTGCTCCACATGTACCAGCCATTGTTAACCAATCAGAAGCGGCCCATGATAGAAGGTGATAGACAGATTGATCCAATCACCTGCCAAGTGCTTCTGAAAGTGCCTGCCCTTTCCAAATGGCTTCCAATGGAGCTTTAGATGGTTTGGTGAACCATCTGAGTCAGGTTAGTAATGCTCCATCACGTGTTTCTGTTACAGGGTGGATCTTAAACTGAAGCTTGACTTTAAAGCAACCCAACGGAAGTTTCATGTAAGTTTAGTTCTTTCACTCGTAGCTCGGGCTGCGGGGTGCTAGAGACGGGAGCACGTTGATACGACCTTCCTAGCCGGAGATATGGCCGCATTTTACAATAAACTTCCGTTGGGTCGCTTAAAAACAAATATCGCAATTCGAATCGCAATATTTGTCAGAAAAATCGCAATTCGATTTTTTCCCAAAATCGTGCAGCCTTAGGAGCGAGGAAAAGAGAGAAGGAGCGAGGAAAAGAGAGAAGGAAACAGAAAGACAGGAGCGAGGTCGGGAAAGATCTTGAAAAGCCAGCTGTCAGTCTTCTGTCATCTCCGAGTATCTCTTCTTGCTGGTGTCAAAAGAGTTCGATGTACAGCACACGCTTCTTCATGGAGGCGTGTGGCGCAGTGGGTTGTGCGCTGGGATCATGGGAGCACAGGTTCAAACCCCACTGCAGTCAGCATGTCGTTGTGTCCCTGAGACTCTTCACCCCACAGTGCTCCTGTGAGGATTGACCAGAGTATGTTAGTCGCTTTGGATAAAAGCGACTAACAAGTGACATGGGATGTAATGCTTCTAACATTCCCGTATAAAACGTTTCCTCTCATCAAGCCTACATTCAGTCGCCATCAGTCATCAGTCCAGACTCGAAATGCTCCCGTACACCATCTCACTTTCACTATTCAATATCAAACACTGTTCAATATTCATAATAAGATAAGAAGTACTTCATGGATCCCATATTGGGACATGTTTGCGTTGCAGCAGCATAAAAAGACCTGAACACATTGGAGAAATTGAAAGACTAGAAATAAACAATCCACAATGTAAACATCTCAAATAGAAATAACAAATGTTGATAAAAAATCAAAACAAAAAGTACTTTTATCCCATGTTTGGTTTATTACAGTGTATTCCGCAGCTTTGATTGCCATTAAAGACATGTTAAATGTCTGGTTTGTTGGTTTTAAATCCCCTTTGATGGGACGGATTTGAAGAAGACGATTGTTGTTTTAAACATATTCTTATTTCTATTCACGCTCTCAAAATAAATACAGAAAAAGAGAGTTTTTAAAGCTGGTTTTCACATATTTCTCCTCATATATTGCATTTATTCTTTCCATAAAACCTGGTGGAAGCGTAACAAAAAGAAAAAAAATACCTCCTGGTTCAAAAATAACCACATTTGAGAGATGTCTTAATAATTCTCTGTATTCACCCTGTGCTCTAGGAATGGCAGCGTTGGACAGCAAAGCGTCAGGAAAGATGGGCATGAGAGCCTTGATTTATTACATGACCACGACCTTCATCGCAGTCTTCACCGGGATCATCGTTGTCCTCATCATTCACCCCGGGAAAGGATCCAAAGCGGAGTTTGGAAAGCAGCAGAAGATCGAGCAAGTCAGTCCTGCAGACGCCTTCTTAGATCTGATCAGGTGAGAAAAGATACGATGCACATTTCTCAAAGTTGTTGAAGTGATATTTTGTATTGATTGATTGATGTGCTTTTATTTACGTCTAAATGTGTGCACATGAATAAATGTGTCTGTGTATATATATGTATATACATACTTTTATATATCTTTGTTACTGTATTTGGCATTGTGGGAAACGGTATTTGGATCCCTCTGTCTGTACACACAAACTGAAAGATTGACAATAAAGTTGACTTTGATAAGACTTTATTTATCCCGAAGGAAATTGTTGTGCCAGAGTTACAAAAATACAATAAACACAGCAGCAGAATAATAAAACTGCAATTCAATAACTACAGGAAACAGCTCGTGTCTCAGGGTGTGTTTTTTGTAGATTATGTAACTAATTCTAATAAAGGTATTCTGATTCTGAGTCAGAGTGGACACCATCGTCTCTTAACAATTCTGTTATTTCTCTTTCCAGAAACATGTTTCCTCCAAACCTGGTCCAGGCCTGCACCCAGCAGGTGAGCTTTATATGTTGAGGTCTCAGAAAGCCGTGCAGTGTTGATGTCACCCACAAGATAACAGTTCAATCAGGAGAGACGGTTTTGATGTGAAGATACATATTTAATGCGCAGATACACAAATGAATGTGACGATAAGGCCCCGTTGTGCAGGAAGTATCATTCGGGAGGGGAGAACCGATCCGATGAAACCCCCCCGGGGTCTAGACACTGGTGGTGGTGAATGGATAGTTGGGTCGGTCTGAGGAGGAGTGGCTTAGCTTGACCCTGGTGGTGGTGAATGGATAGTTGGGGCCGGTCTGAAGGGGAGTGGCTTAGCTTGACCCTGGTGGTGGTGAATGGATAGTTGGGTCGGTCTGAAGAGGAGTGGCTTAGCTTGACACTGGTGGTGGTGAATGGATAGTTGGGTCGGTCTGAGGGGAGTGGCTTAGCTTGACCCTGGTGGTGGTGAATGGATAGTTGGGTCGGTCTGAAGGGGAGGGGCTTAGCTTGACCCTGGTGGTGGTGAATGGATGGTTGGGTTCGGTCTGTAGGGGAGGGGCTTAGCTTGACCCTGGTGGTGGTGAATGGATAGTTGGGGTCGGTCTGAAGGGGAGGGGCTTGGCTTGACCCTGGTGGTGGTGAATGGATAGTTGGGTCGGTCTGAAGGGGAGGGGCTTAGCTTGACCCTGGTGGTGGTGAATGGATAGTTGGGTCGGTCTGAAGGGGAGGGGCTTAGCTTGACCCTGGTGGTGGTGAATGGATAGTTGGGGCCGGTCTGAAGGGGAGTGGCTTAGCTTGACCCTGGTGGTGGTGAATGGATAGTTGGGTCGGTCTGAAGGGGAGGGGCTTAGCTTGACCCTGGTGGTGGTGATTGGATAGTTGGGTCGGTCTGAAGGGGAGGGGCATATCTTGACCCTGGATTCGGAGGGACGGGAGGTGCAAAGGGGGGGAGGAGGGCTGCGTTGAGTCACCTGAAATGACAGCTGTCGGAGGGGAAAGAGCAGAGTTTAAAGGGTTTGACGGCACGCTATGATAGGCTCTTGGGAATAGAGCGAAGTGATTGGCTAAGCTGAAGAGTGACGCCCCCGGTCACTTATTGAGAGGAGAGAAAGTAGAAACATGGAGATAGAAATACATGAATGAGTAAAGACGGTCTTCCTGGTTGAACTTGCGCTAAGCTTCATATGTTTAAGAGATCGAGTGTGTAGACATGTTGGCCTTTTACTGTTTTCCATGATCATCCAGAGCCACTGGTTTGTTTTTAACACAGAGAGTTACACACCTCCTTTACTCAAGCTTTTTGTCTTTTTGTTTATGTAAGTCTGTAAGTTGTTGCTATTGTCGGGACCCCCTTGAAAGCGAGATGGTGCATCTCAAGGGGTTTATCCCAATAAATAAAATGTCTATATATATACAAGTAGAAGTACAGATACTTGTGTTTAAAAGTACTCTGGTGAAAGTAGAAGTACTGACTAAACTTCTTTACTCAAGTCAAAGTAAAGAGGCTTTGAAATGTACTTCAGTAAAAAGTACCCATAACTAGCAGCTGTTTTAAAGAGTACCTGACCTCCCTTTATATTAATAGAACAATAATGTCATTGTTAGCTAATGAATGTTTCCATGCTGAACAACGGCAACATGACAACGTTTCCATTGGTCCCTCTTCTTTAGAGAAGACCAGGAAATGATGGATACACATTTACAGGGAAAAGGGGATTTCGCACAATAGGTGACCTTTAAGCTAATACGCATGCTATTTTGTTGAGCTTTCATCGTGAAAGGGTATTGTGACCTGGAAGACACCAAACGTCAATTAATTTGATTGCTCTGGAGCGTTTAGTCTTATTTATGGTCTTTCTTAAAGGCCATGGATATTCATCAGCTGCAGGAAATACTGACATCTTCTAAGATTTTGCACAATAGGTGACCTTTCATTCTCTCTTTTCTCCAGTTCAAAACCAAGTATGGAAAGCGGGTTGTCACTGTGACGATGACGGTGAACGAAACCCTCTTCAACTCCACCAATGCGACCCAGGAGGTGATGGAGATCTCCAGAGAGGAAGTGATCCCGGTGCCGGGCCAGGTCAACGGGGTCAACGCTCTCGGGCTGGTGGTCTTTTCCGTGTGCTTTGGTTTGATAATTGGCAACATGAAGGAGCAGGGCCAGGTCCTCAGGGACTTCTTCGACGCCATGAATGAAGCCATCATGCGCCTGGTGGCCATCATCATGTGGTAAAAGTTCACTGTGAGAGGCAGGAAGTGGTGGAGTACAAATACTTTGTTACTTAAGTACATTTTTCTGGTATCAGTACTTCACTCCACTACTTATTTTTCTGACGACTTTTTACTTTGACTTCTTACATTTCTAACTCAAATACCTGTACTTTCTACTTCTTACATGTTGAACTCAAATACCTGTACTTTCTACTTCTTACATGTTGAACTCAAATACCTGTACTTTCTACTTCTTACATGTTGAACTCAAATACCTGTACTTTCTACTTCTTACATGTTGAACACAAATACCTGTACTTTCTACTTCTTACATGTTGAACTCAAATACCTGTACTTTCTACTTCTTACATGTTGAACTCAAATACCTGTACTTTCTACTTCTCTCATTTCCCAAACAGCTGGTTCCTTTAGTCTGAATGTGTGTTTGATGCGTGATCATTATTCTTTAGAGTCATTGCGTGCCTATTGATTTGAACACGATCCGTGTATCCATCATTTCCTGGTCTTCTCTAAAGAAGAGGGACCAATGGAAACGTTGTCATGTTGCCGTTGTTCAGCATGGAAACATTCATTAGCTAACAATGACATTATTGTTCTATTAATATAAAGGGAGGTCAGGTACTCTTTAAAGCAGCTGCTAGTTATGGGTACTTTTTACTGAAGTACACTTCAAAGCCCTCTTTACTTTGACTTGAGTAAAGAAGTTTAGTCAGTAGGCTACTTCTACTTTCACCAGAGTATTTTTAAACACGAGTATCTGTACTTCTAATTGAGTAAAGGATGTGTGTACTTGTGCCCTCTCTGATGAGAGGTGTTTCCTGTTGAACATAAATGTCACCATCATCTTCCTCGTTCTTCCTCTCTCAGGTACGCTCCTATCGGGATCCTGTTCCTGATCGCAGGAAAGATCGTGGAGATGGACGACTTGACTCAGATGGGCGGCCAGCTGGGCATGTATACCATCACGGTGATAATCGGGTTACTAATCCACGGAGTTCTTATTCTTCCCACTCTCTATTTTGTTATCACTCGGCAAAACCCCTTCACCTTCATCGCTGGCATCCTGCAAGCTCTGGTCACCGCCCTGGGAACGTCCTCCAGGTGAGTCCAACAATACCTCACCTCTGTTGTAGTAAATGTATCATTAAAGGTGGGGTAGGTAATTCACTTCAGAAACAGTTGTTGTTATATTCCATGGAATGCTCTTAACATCCCGATAGCAATGAAAACATTAAATGCTTTGACAATAAATACATACAAAAATGTCATCAGTGGAAGCCGTAGCGCTGTAAAAAGCACGACCAATCATCTGAGCCGGCCCGGCTAAAGTAACTGGATGGCCTACCTGCCTGTCAGCCTCCCATCTGGGCACAAACTGATCTCGTGCCCTCATTGGTCATGTGCGCGTTCGTGTGTTGGAGGAGGGGCTCTGTGAGGAAGTCTGAAGGAAGGGGTAGATTTGTTCCGGTTGTGTATTTTCAAATTCTAGCGCACTCGAGCTGGTTTCTCCATTCTTACCTACCCCACCTTTAAGTCTCATTTAAGTATAACTATCTTCTCTGGTTTGGTTCTCCCGTGGTTTGAATTCACATCTCTAATTCTCACTTCCTTAGAACAGACAGAAGGTTGTCTTTTCGACCATTGGTTTATAATTCAAATGTAGGCAAGTTTCACAATCTGGCAAACACTTCCTGTAATGTAAATTGCCTCGCTGAGACCTTCCCCTTTCCTTGCTTTTGAGTGTATAAAGTGTTTTAATTTTCTGTTGTATGTGGTCAGATCTTGGTACTATCTACTACTCTGCATTAACTGACCAGCAAAAACAGCACAGGAGCTACAGGGAGAGGGATGTTTAAAGCAGGTGCTGATTCATTTTCGACCCATCAAACAATCACTGTTGAAAAAATGAGATTCAACGATGTCTGTCTAATTGTCTACCAATGCATGATTAAAATGCAGATTAGTACAATTTTAGCCTTATACAAAACGCAAAAACACCAATTTAGTGGATTTAAATGAACAAATGAAATGGATACACAAAGTTCACAACAAGCTCTAGCAAATAAAGAATCATAGTCACCACAGAACGTATCCGGGATTCACTCAACACTGTGGATGTGACCTTAAATGACAGTAATGCAGAGACTGCGCAAACAAACGTATATCCAGTCTAACTCATGTTAGCTTTAGCCTGAGGCAACTAACATGTGACAGAAATACATTAGAGCTGTCGGCACTTACTGACATTTTGGATGCAGCTCGTGCGGCTTGTTTAGAGTTTGTTAGGTAGCGTATCTAGACTAGTTTTTAGCACAAAGAAGCTCAGTCTAAAGTTAGAAACAGGCCCTTTGTCTTGGCCATAACAAAGAACGTGGAAAGGACACGGTTTAAGGAACGATATGTATTATAATAATAACTTAACTTAACAAAAGAGCTACCACAATGGAATGTGTTTATCAGTAGTGTTTACTGTAGGTGTGGCCGTGGGGGGGTGTGAACGTGGTGCAAGGTGTTCAATGCCAAACTAAGAGGAAGGGAAACCAAAGCATGTAGGTCAGGTAGCTGCTCTCAAACACAGATCCTTCCACCGAGAGAGCGAGCAAGACTCGGGGTGTTTCTCAATGTCGAGGACGCTTGCTTGGTAGCACATGTCTTCCGAGTCACTTGCTTCAGAAGCGAGGCAAGAATACTTCCTGGCATTCGGAAAACGAAGAGTGGAACAGGCGAGCAAGTGTGCAGGTGTGCGTCATATGAGAGGCCCCGCCTTAAATGGAGCGCTAGGCTATTTCCGCCAAAGATTTGGAAATTGGTCCGTGCGCAAAGCATTGTGGGGATTTTAAGACCGCGGAGTCTACACATGTGCAGCCTCCAAATTTCTCGCTACGAAGTACGCCGGGCTCGGTAGGATTCGGTAGGATTCCAAGTATGCATATACATTGGAACAGTCGGTGGGACTCGATGACATAGTATGCTTGAAATAGTGGCTCTGGAGCAGCCTTCCTTGACGTTGAGAAACACCCAGGGTGCGTTTCACTTCGGTTAAATGGATTCCTTGCGTCCCTCACTTGCGTCGTTTCCCTGCGACTAGTCCCTCCCACCAGGGAAGCATGGAGAGACGCAAGGAAACCACGAGAAGCAGGGAAATGAGTTTTAAGAGCAATGTGACGTCGTTTCCTCCAGGGCGTCACGTGAAGCGACGTCCGTTTGTGATGACGCCGCACAGTCTGACAGCAGCCAGATCAGTGCATGCGCTGCATCGTCCAATCAGTGAGCGATACACAGTAAGGGGGCGGGGCGAGTGTCTGAGGATTTCATCGGAGGATGATCTGGTGGTTCCTCGATTATCGCTCCCCGCTCCTCGGTCCTCCGGCAGAAATAAGGCCACTGGGACGCTACTCAAGATGTTGAGTAGCGTCCCAGTGGCCTTATTTCTGCCGGAGGACCGAGGACAAATCAACTTCCGGTGATTCCGAGACTGAGGAGCGAGGAAATGAAAAATAACCGAAGTGAGACGCACCCCAACACTTGTATCCTTACATCTCTCAAAACTCACTTATTCACTCTCTTTCAAACTCTGACCATCAACACACTTTCCTCGCACTAGGATTAGGACTACTGTTGTTTTCTTTATACTGTGTCTGTTCTGATTTTATGTCAAGCGTCTTTGAGCATTAGCAGAAAGATCCAATGTATTATTATGATTTATTAAGAAGTATATGTCCATATGTCCCGTGTCTCTGTATGCACCACTTATTAGATTCAAAGGTTTTATCATCATATGCACACAAAGCTTCAGTGGAGAAATGGAAATGAAATTCTTCTGACCTGAGCTCCTCCAACGATGCAACATATAGTATAAAATACAAAAATACAAAATAAAAAGTAGTGCAAAAAGTCAATATACGTGTAAATAGAATATGATATGTACAAGAACAGAATATGAAATTAAATCATGTACATTAAGACTCAATTAAATACGGTTTATTGCGTTGATAACTATTTACTATAAAAATACAAGTGATTCTGAGTGTGTTTTGAACCTGTTTCTGTTTGTTTTCATGGCTCAGCTCTGCAACCCTGCCTGTCACCTTTAAATGTCTGGAGGAAAACAACAAAATTGACAAGAGAATCACGCGCTTCGTGCTGCCGGTGGGAGCCACGATCAATATGGATGGAACGGCGCTTTATGAGGCGCTGGCGGCCATCTTTATAGCCCAGGTCAACAACGTGGAGATGAACTTTGGTCAGATCCTCACCATCAGGTAGGAGAGTGGAAATGGCAGACGCTGTTATTTCCATTGTATGCTACTGTGTACTTCTACTCCTCTACAGTTCAGAGGTACATGGTGTACTTCTCCTCCACTACATGTATTTATACCTTTAGTTACTTCACAGATGTGGATGAATGATGTGAAATATAATCAAGTGTTAAATCAGACTTTAGTTCCACCTGGAGTAAATCCACCAGCTACCCTGCAGTATACAAAGTCCTTCAAACTAGCTGCACCTTTACCAGCTTTGAGAACACTTTCATGATCAATCATTATAAAACATATCATATATATTATTCTGAAATGGACCAATCTGCACAACGACTATTTTCACTGTCTTTCACTATATTTAGATGAGAATACTTTTCTACTTTCACTTGAGGAACATTTTGAATGCAGGACTTTTACTGAAACAGAGTATTCCTACACTCTGGTACTTCTACGTTTACTCAAGTACAAGACCTGAGTACTTATACTTTTACTCAAGAACAAGACCTGAGTACTTCTTCTTTTACTCAAGTACAAGATCTGAGTACTTCTACTTTTATTCAAGTATATGATCTGAGTACTTCTACTTTTACTCAAGTACAAGATCTGAGTACTTCTACTTTTACTCAAGATCTGAGTACTTCTACTTTAACTCAAGTACAAGATCTGAGTACTTCTACTTTTACTCAAGTACAAGATCTGAGTACTTCTACTTTTACTCAAGATCTGAGTACTTCTACTTTTACTCAAGTACAAGATCTGAGTACTTCTACTTTTACTCAAGTACATGATCTGAGTACTTCTTCTTTTACTCAAGTACAAGATCTGAGTACTTCTACTTTTATTCAAGTATATGATCTGAGTACTTCTACTTTTACTCAAGTACAAGATCTGAGTACTTCTACTTTTACTCAAGATCTGAGTACTTCTACTTTAACTCAAGTACAAGATCTGAGTACTTCTACTTTTACTCAAGTACAAGATCTGAGTACTTCTACTTTTACTCAAGATCTGAGTACTTCTACTTTAACTCAAGTACAAGATCTGAGTACTTCTACTTTTATTCAAGATCTGAGTACTTCTACTTTTACTCAAGTACAAGATCTGAGTACTTCTCCACCTCTGGTTATCAATAAGAGAAATGCAGATATACAATAGTTTCTCTTCTCTTTAATCCAGTATCACAGCCACTGCGGCCAGCATTGGAGCGGCAGGCATCCCTCAGGCCGGACTGGTCACCATGGTGATTGTTTTGACCTCTGTTGGACTTCCTACTGATGACATCACTCTCATCATTGCGGTCGATTGGTTCTTGTGAGTATCTGTGTGTAACTTTCACTGACATGATGAATGTTTTAAGGTCAGAACCGTCTCTACTACAGTACCACCCAGTGACACACTTCTCTCTCTCAGGGGTCTCGTTCCACATCTTCCCTTTTGTATTGAATATTTTGTGCGATGAGTTTTAACATAGAAACATAATTAGGTTTCCCAAATTAATCATTTCAATTAGAATACCCTATCCCAGAAATTACTCAGCTAACTGGGGTAATAGGAAATAAATCGTTCCCTCCTTTAAGGATGCACCAAATCTGAACGTCTGTCAAAGCCTTCCAGCAAGAAGACAGAGGGAAGAGCAGCGTCTAATGTTGGAAGTCTCTGTGGTTCTAGGGCAGGGTTGTCACTTAAATCAGGGTTCACTTTCAGAAGAAAAGTGCTAGGTTTCCAAGCTCAGTATTCAAATCAATGTACCAGAATAAAACCGTACAGACAGAGCTCTAATTGCAAAGAGTTGTTCCCAGAGGTGGGAAGTAGTGGAGTACAAATACTTCGTTACTGTACTTAATCTTCTGGTATCAGTACTTTACTCCACGACTTATTTTTCTGACGACTTTTTCTTTGACTTCTTACATTTTGAACACAAATACCTGTACTTTCAACTTCGTACATGTTGAACACAAATACCTGTACTTTCTACTTCGTACATGTTGAACACAAATACCTGTACTTTCTACTTCTTACATGTTGAACACAAATACCTGTACTTTCTACTTCTATCATTGTAGAAAAGGCTCCAAAGTTATAGTTCTTGATATATATATATATATATATATATATATATATTATTTTATTATACAGAGTTGATACCTTCATAGTGTTTGGGTGACGTCACACATCAGAGGGTAATGTGCGTCAGTAGTTGCAGGAAAGTTATGCCGTTTTAAGCTTCGTATTGTGTGCGTAAATGAACGTGAGTGTTTGTCCACAGTGCTGCCTGTTAGGTTGTTCTACACTTAATTATTATTGTGATAACTTCTGTGCCGATGGGGCTTAATGCAGAGTCTCCGTGCTCATGTGATCGGTGCATGCTGCGTGCATGTTTATTATGGCTGCTCATTAAGTCACTCATCAAGTGAGTCGGCACTCCTGTCTCAAAGTTAGGTACACCGTGTTGAGTGGCACAGATCTATTATTAATGTAATAGGATGTAGTTTGTGGATAAATGTTTATGTGGCGTTAAAGGTGAGAAATTATGTGTTAACAGTTCATTTATTGCTCCGCTACTCGGCTACCGGAAGTAGCATGTCTGTAGCGTTTCACAATAAGAGCATCGGCTGCCGCTTCCCGCCAACCGGAAGTGGAACGTTATTCATTAGCGGTAGCTTAACTTTTAATCTCTGTGTTGCCTGGTAAAGAGTGTTTGACATTATATGTTAATGTATTTATGATGATAAGAGAAGGGAGACATGTTGTATTATAGCTTGTCTAGATTATTATTTCTATAGGGTTTGGCATCATTATGTATATCATTTATGTATGCATAAGTTATCTTATATTGATTGTATTTTGTTTATTTCCCTTGTAGGAAAAACCACACACAGAAAAATATCTGTATGTCTGCCTAAATAAGTAAAGAAGTCAAGCCTCATCTTAGCTCCTCATTTCCTCTATTCTGGACCTTTGGTCTTAAGTGGTGTTCTGGCCGACACACCTGGGTGAACCTAGTGATAGACACAAAACTAGTGCCAACACTGAGTTATCTCAAATTCTCCACTACAATCATTTTCCAAACAGCTGGTTCCTTTAGTCTGAATGTGTGTTTGATGCGTGATCATTATTCTTTAGAGTCATTGCGTGCCTATTGATTTGAACACGATCCGTGTATCCATCATTTCCTGGTCTTCTCTAAAGAAGAGGGACCAATGGAAACGTTGTCATGTTGCCGTTGTTCAGCATGGAAACATTCATTAGCTAACAATGACATTATTGTTCTATTAATATAAAGGGAGGTCAGGTACTCTTTAAAACAGCTGCTAGTTATGGGTACTTTTTACTGAAGTACATTTCAAACTTATTTACTTTGACTTGAGTAAAGAAGTTTAGTCAGTACTTCTACTTTCACCAGAGTATTTTTAAACACGAGTATCTGTACTTCTACTTGAGTTAAGGATGTGTGTACTTTTGCCATCTCTGTGTTCAGGGACCGTCTGCGGACCACCACCAATGTTTTGGGGGATTCGATCGGAGCGGGTATCGTAGAGTTTCTGTCTCGACATGAGCTCCGCAGCAAAGACGTGGAGATGGGAAACTCCGTGCTGGAGGAGAAAGAGAGGAAGAAACCTTACAAGCTCATCTCCCAGGATAGTGATTTTGAAAATGACAAACGTGCTCACAGTGAATCCAACATGTAGGTCACATGGTTCTGTTTGAAGGGGTAGAGACCTGATTGCTAGACGATGTTTCCACCATAACGTTGCTGACATTATTTCACACATTTGTTAACGTTCCTTTATTATCTAGTCCTGCATCACGTTCATTTCTTACATTCCTCTGTCATTACTATTACTTTGACGTTAGTGCTTTCAAATAGGACGGGTAGATTCTTTTCTGATTTGTATGTTTACTACTTTAATATTTTATCTTCATATAACATGTAGTGATTGAGGTGAAAGTAGATTTAGATACATGTGACAGATTTAAACACTGCATTAAAATATGCATTTTGTCACCAGGACATAGGACACTTAAATAAAAATGTCTATCTTAATCGTCACAACATAAGTTAATATTGTGGTTTTTATTACAGGTTATAACGTGTGTGTGTGTGTGTGTGTGTGTGTGTGTGTGTGTGTGTGTGTGTGTGTGTGTGTGTGTGTGTGTGTGTGTGTGTGTGTGTGTGTGTGTGTGTGTGTGTGTGTGTGTGTGTGTGTGTGTGTGTGTGTGTGTGTGTGTGTGTGTGTGTGTGTGTGTGTGTGTGTGTGTGTGTGTGTGTGTGTGTGTGTTTTTTACCAACATTGCAAATTTTCTGTAGATATGACAGTGAATATGTTGGGTGATGTAACGCTTGTGATTTCAATATGAATGTGTGACACGGATATTGAAGTCTCTCTGAGAAAATGGTGACCTATACCTTTTGTTTATTATAATGAAGTTTAGTGAAATAAAATATAAAAATAATTACCGACTGCTTTCGTTTTTCTGTCCGGGATCATTTTGGTAGATTACAAACGCAAACGATATTCCCTAAATACTTGCTTTCTTTTCTGAACAAAATATGTTGTTTGGTCTCTGAAGGAGAAGTGAATATGATTCTCCTCCGAAGGACAAGGCTTACATTATACATTTTGATTGATACCGACCTGCCAGCTTGACAATGATAAAATAAGCAAATTATTGAATTTATATAGTTAAAAGTTCTTTAGGAAAATAACTAAAAATACATATATTTTACGAGCTGTTTTGAAAAGTATTTATTAAGGGAAGGCGTGAAGCTTAATGCCACAGACAGACAGATAGATATATAGAATTATAAATAATAATGTACGATGTTTCATAAAGTGTATTCCTAGGTTCATTGTGTAAATGACCGTGGATCCGGGAGATGGCGACAGGGCAACAGGTGTATGTTCAGCCTGTAATATCCTAGAAGAAGAGCAGTCCTCTCTGCTTACATACATACATAATACATTATTATGCTAAAATGTACAACCTCACAGTTGTCATGGAGTTATTTAACCATACAGAGAATATGGTGTTTTCAACCACGATGGAAACATGTTTATTTCCGCTTTAAAGTCGGGCATTTTAACATCGGGGCTCTACGGAAATTGCTCCCTTCTGCAGCCTCCCTCTACCGTCCACTATATGAACTGCAGTGTGTGGCACTTCTGGATTGGCTTCACCGCTGGGTGTACAGCCTGTTGCTCCTCCTCACTTTCCACTTGATATATCCTATGGATATATCACACAGTAAGGACGTCCCATTGCTCTTAAAAAACACATTTCCTTGCTTTCTTCTCCCTTCGCGACAACAGCACATATTAAGCCAACATTATCAGACAGAACACTGAATGTGGCAAGAACTTCAAATCTTACATTTAGATTTTTGAAAAGGGATTTTAGCGTTTCTCCAAGCATCCCTGGTGGGAGGGACTTTAAACCGCTAGGAAAAGACGTAAACAAGGGACGCAAAGGGTGGAAATTAAGGGAAGTGATATTACGCAGCTAGTGCATGGTGCAGAAAACATGTCCTCCTCTCAGAGAAAAGACCTGGGCCGTGCACTGTGCATCATAACCGGGGCCTCAAGGGGCTTTGGTCGGACTGTAGCGAGAGAGTTGTCCCGGTTAGTGAAGCCGGGATCGGTGCTCATTCTCACGGCTCGTTCGGAGGAAAACCTGCGGTCTCTGGAGGTCGAGCTGGCCGGGTCAGAGGCAGGTAAATCCGGCCTTTTGGTGCAGTGTGTACCGGCAGACCTGGCTCAGATGGCGGGGCTGCAGAGCGTCGTTTCAGCCTCGAGGGCAGCTTTCTCTGAACACATAGATCACGTGATACTGGTCAACAACGCTGGTAAGAACCTGCTAATTACCATTCATCACCTGATAAATGACTCAAAACCAGAGGTGGGAGAACTAGAAGTACTCAGATCTTGTAATTGAGTACAAGTAGAAGTACTCAGATCTTGTACTTGAGTAAAAGGAGAAGTACTCAGATTTTGTACTTGAGTAAAAGGAGAAGTACTCAGATCTTGTACTTGAGTAAGAGTAGAAGACTTCTACTCATACTCAAGTACAATATCTGAGTACAGTACTTCTACTAGAAGTACTCAGATCTTGTAAACATTAACCTACACACTGTAACCCGTTAATAGTAACCAGGACTGTTCAAGCATAACAAGTGCACTGTTTTTAAGACTTTAACCTGCACTCTCAACTGCACACTTTTGTAAATATATTTAACATGTTCATACAAATGCACAACTTTTTACTGTGATATGTTATTTTAATAGTTACTTTATCACCTTATTTTTGCTGTATTATTATTTTAATTTGTATTCTATTTTAATGTTTACCCTGTATGAATCCTGTTTTTCATTCTGACCCCGTTGCTGCCATTAATGCCTGAATTTCCCCAAGGGGATAAATAAAGTTTCATCTTATCTTATCTCATATATATCCTTTATTAAACCAGGTAAAAGTCTCATTGAGATTTCAAATCTCTTTTTCAAGAGCGACCTGGCCAAGAGGGCCACATGAGTTACATCAGATAAAACACAGACAATACAGGCAGAGGAATACAGCTGTAAAACACAAAACATGAAATGGCACATTAACCAGTCAATATGCAAATAAAATAAACTGTTATAAAACATTAAAAACTGGCACAATTTAAAACGACTTCAATTATGGGATTTACGAGCAATCACATCGACCAATGGTTTCTTGTTCTCTGTTCTTTAAGATGGACTTGAACTCCCCAAAGTGATCATATCTGACAGTTTCTGCTCCTTCTGTGTATTATTCCAGGCAGACGGTGCAGCATATTTAAAAGCTTTTTTTACCCAGTTCTGTTCTCACTTTAGGAACCAGCATCTGAATAGCATCTTATCTTAACCCTCTCTCTCCCCCCAGCCTCTCTAGGGGATGTGTCTCGTTTCACCAGCAGCTTCACAGATATGGCCGAGGTTGACTCCTACCTGTCCATGAATGTGACTTCCTGTTTGTGTCTGACGGCCCGCCTCCTTCAGGCTCTCCCCCCCCCGATCAGGGCTCTGTCGCTCCGTCGTCAACATCACCTCGTTGTGCGCCCTGCAGCCTTTTAAGTCCTGGGCGCTTTATTGCACTGGAAAGGCAGCTCGGGAAATGATGTTCAGGGTGCTGGCAGCGGAGGAGCCAGACCTCCGGGTGCTGAGCTACTCCCCAGGTGAGGAGGGGGGGCAACAGTACACACATCCTTTCCTCAAGTAGAAGTACAGATACTCGTGTTTAAAAATACTCTGGTGAAAGTACTGACTAAACTTCTTTACTCAAGTCAAAGTAAAGAGGCTTTGAAATGTACTTGAGTAAAAAGTACCCATAACTAGCAGCTGTTTTAAAGAGTACCTGACCTCCCTTTATATTAATAGAACAATAATGTCATTGTTAGCTAATGAATGTTTCCATGCTGAACAACGGCAACATGACAACGTTTCCATTGGTCCCTCTTCTTTAGAGAAGACCAGGAAATGATGGATACACGGATCGTGTTCAAATCAATAGGCACGCAATGACTCTAAAGAATATGATCACGCATCAAACACACATTCAGACTAAAGGGAACCAGCTGTTTGGAAAATGAGAGAAGTAGAAAGTACAAGTATTTGAGTTCAGCATGTAAGAAGTAGAAAGTACAGGTATTTGAGTTCAACATGTAAGAAGTAGAAAGTACAGGTATTTGAGTTCAACATGTAAGAAGTAGAAAGTACAGGTATTTGTGTTCAACATGTAAGAAGTAGAAAGTACAGGTATTTGAGTTCAACATGTGAGAAGTAGAAAGTACAGGTATTTGGGTTCACACATGTAAGAAGTAGAAAGTACAGGTATTTGAGTTCAACATGTAAGAAGTAGAAAGTACAGGGATTTGAGTTCACACATGTAAGAAGTAGAAAGTAACAGGTATTTGTGGTTACCAACATGTAAAGAAAAATATAAGAGAAGTACAGGGGTGGTGGGATTTGAGTGCAACATGTGAGAAGTAGAAAGTACAGGTAGTGTGAGTTCAAAACATGTAAGAAGTAGAAAGTACAAGGTATTTGGGGTCAACCATGCTAAGGAGATAGAACGGTACAGGCTATTTGATTTCAAACATGTAGAAGTAGAAAGTACAGGTGGATTTGGGTTTCAACATGTAGAGTAAAGAAAAAAAAAAAAAAAAAAAAAAAAAAAAGTGACAGTTATTTGAGTTCAACATGTAAGAAGTAGAAATTACAGGTATTTGTGTTCAACATGTAAGAAGTAGAAAGTACAGGTATTTGAGTTTCAACATGTAAGAAGTAGAAAGTACAGGGTAGTTGGAGTTCAACATGTAAGAAGTAGAAAGTACAGGTATTTGGGTTCAACATGTAAGAAGTAGAAAGTACAGGTATTGGGTTCTACATGTAAGAAAGTAGAAAGTACAGGTATTTGAGGTTCAACATGTGAGAAGTAGAAAGTACAGGTATTTGGGTTCAACATGTAAGAAGTAGAAAGTACAGGTATTTGGGTTCAACTGTAAGAAGTAGAAAGTACAGGTATTTGAGTTCAACATGTAAGAAGTAGAAAGTACAGGTATTTGGGTTCAACATGTAGAAGTAGAAGTACAGTATTTGGTTCAACATGTAAGAAGTAGAAAGTACAGGTATTTGGGTTCTAACATGTAAGAAGTAGAAAGTACAGGTAATTCGCGAGTTCAACATTGTGAAGAAGTAGAAAGTACAGGTATTTGAGGTTCTACATGTAGAAAGTAAGAAAGTACAGGTATTTGAGGTCAACATGTGAGAAGTAGAAAGTACAGGTATTTGAGGGTTCTAACATGTAAGAAGTAGAAAGTACAGGTATTGCGTTCAACATGTGAAGTAAGTAGAAAGTTACAGGTATTGTGAGTTCAAAACAATGTAAGAAGTAGAAAGTACAGGTATTGCGTTCAACATGTAAGAAGTAGAAAGTACAGGTATTTGGGTTCAACATGTAAGAAGTAGAAAGTACAGGTATTTGGTTCAACATGTAGAAGTAGAAAGTACAGGTATTTGGGTTCAACATGTAAGAAGTAGAAAGTCAGGTATTTGAGTTCAACATGTAAGAAGTAGAAAGTACAGGTATTTGTGTTCAACATGTAAGATAGAAAGTACAGGTATTTGAGTTCAACATGTAAGAAGTAGAAAGTACAGGTATTTGAGTTCAACATGTAAGAAGTAGAAAGTACAGGTATTTGGGTTCTACATGTAGAAGTAGAAAGTACAGGTATTTGGGTTCAACATGTAAGAAGTAGAAAGTACAGGTATTTGAGTTCAACATGTAAGAAGTAGAAAGTACAGGTATTTGGGTTCAACATGTAAGAAGTAGAAAGTACAGGTATTTGTGTTCAACATGTAAGAAGTAGAAAGTACAGGTATTTGGGTTCTACATGTAAGAAGTAGAA